AAAATGCAGTACTAAAAAGTTGATAAAAAATTCTGAAAAAATTCTTAGAATTCTATGAAAAGAAAATAAATGATTTTTGTCTGTTGCAGTTTTTCTGTTAAGTTGATAGTATTTAAGTAAAAAATGAACGTTGATAAGTCGAGCCGCTACTATAATCCAGCGAATTAATGCACTGCAGCGTACATAAAATTAATCTAAATGTAATAAAATTAAAAGAAATAGATTCATAATTGTAATGCATCGCAAAACAAAAAAAAATACAAAATAGAAAATATAAAATTATATATATGATACAAATATACTGTAAAAGTATTTTAATTAACGATTGCAGCACACGATGCTTGTTTTCCTAGATCGCGTTTTAGTAAATTATTAGAATTGCAACATAGAACGCAAATTTTCTAGTTAAAACAAAAGCAATCCAGCAATTATACATATCACTCACAGTATTTAAGCGAGATTGTTTGCAGGTATGTATGTGTGAATGTGCGTAAATGTATGTGTGTGTATGATTTCAGTTAATGATTTATCTCTCATTGCATTGTTGTCTTATTTCCAGTTTTGTTGCTGGTGGGCTTTGTAGCAACAATTTTACTGACGCGTAACCATTTACAAGCTACTGTAATGACTATTTTGTATTGTATTTTATTAATTTTATGTTATGTATTCTATAGTCTATTGTATCATATTTTATGTCTATTATTCTGTTAATATATTGTATAATCTTTCTCATAAAACTTTGCAATAAACTAAATTAAACAATATTAAGAATCTTTATTTTAAACCGCATATGTGAGAAATACAATCAATATTAGAAAAATACCTATTACGGTCGAAGCTGAATCTTCATTGTTTTAAAATAATTCAATCTTGAATTGTTAATATACACTATATGGTATATGTGACATAGCGCGGACATCGCGATTCGCCATTTAAACATTTGCACTGCGATAATTTGAATTTTGATAGCTCGAAAAATCAAAATGAGTACTTGTCAAGTTTAAACGTGAAAAAATGATCACCGGAAAGTGAAATTGAGAAATATATATACATCTTTTTTGCTATCCTAAAATCGATTATTCTCCTTGCATTCGACTGCAATTGGTCTATTTCTTAAGGCGATGTCAAACCGATTACCGAACTTAATCGAAGTTGATACTACAAACTTTTTAATTACAAATTCGATAATAGTGGTGACATCTTCGATTCATTTCTTACGTGTGCCTGCGAGTTTGTGTTCGTCATATACGTTCGATCGTCAGTTGCATACCAATTATAATACGCTCGCTGATACGGATCAATACGGACTAATTGAGACTAGTTTAGTAGTCTGTGTTGATCCGTATCAGCGAGCGTACCTTATAATTGATACACAATGTCCATCTTACACATCTGCGTTCCACTAAACTTTATATATTCTAATGGGTTTTCATACTTATAGGGACACACTTGTTTGAAATAATTTACACATGATTTCTGAAGAGATATGAAACACATTTGACTGTTCAATCGTATGTGAATAATGTCGAGTTCTACATCTCACTTGAGCTGTGATTATAGTGAATATGCGAACATTTTCGATAATTAATTTTATATAGCGATTTTTATGATAAGTTAATATCTGAAGAGGGCTCAATCCGTAGCCGATCTTGTAATTTATTTAAATTTAAACTGAGTTTTTTATTATATTTTTTCAATTTTACTTTTCTTTATTTGTAATTTATTCTTTTTAATCGTGTGACAAAAAAATGTGTTCGACTCTTACTTTGCCCTTTATTTATTGTTATTTATTTTGAAAGTAATTGTTAAACAATTACTAAAAATAATAAACAAATGCATTTTGTTTATTTTTAATTAAAAGACCGTGCCATTGTTACTTTTTTTTAAGTAA